TTTTGGCATTCACGGTTCAATTGGAGTAGTTGGTCAAGTAAAATACCATAATCCCCAAATGGCATAAGAGAGATACCAGCATAGTAAACCAAGGAAATGCTCACCTCGTGGGAAAAGGAAAAAGAAGAATCCAGAAGTTTTCCGATGTCACACTGCGCATGCGCCCCGAGCCCCATGATGCACTCCTTGGCTGCAAAGAAAAAGAGAAAGACAACAGAAGACAACACTGAATCATTACAGGGCAGTATTTCAATTTTACAGCGGACGCAGACGAAGGAGTAATGTTTCGTTCAATATACTGCAACTGGGAGGGATATTCCTACATGTATAACACGCGTAAAAAAGAAAGAAAAAAGAAGAATACAGAACACGTGGTGAAGGAGATAAATTCCAAGTTTTACCTTCTTTGCTTGCCATAGTGCTCCTTGGAGTTGAGAAACGTGCTGACTCTACTGACAATAGTTGGAATCCTTCAAAATAAGCCTCTCGACCGCATCTCATCTTTGCTCTGTATACACCAATCAAATGCTGGCCGGCTTTACAGTATCTCGGATTAGCTTCAAAGAAAGCAAACGGAGAAGAAAGACATTACGTGCTTCCTTCCAAACAACAACGACGAATGGAACGTGTTCGCGATCTGCAAGTTTTAGTTGATTCAACACGGCGCGGCCTCGCTTACCGAGCGGATGCAGCTGCTAACATTCTTCGAGCGTGAACTTTGACCTCACCACCCCGCGATTCTCGCCAGCTTCTAACGACCCTTGCTCATTGCATGCAGTCTAGCAGTAGACGTCTACCAGCCGCGTGTTCTAACAGCAACAGTATCAGTTATCACTCAGTAGAACACACTCCCTTCATCATGTACAGTCAGTGCTCGCTAATGCATGAGGAAGAACATCGCGGTCTGGTTACAGTAGGTGTGAACTTTGGAATGGTCCCGATATCAAGGACGAACACGCCGTTGGGACGTGGCACAGCGCGCGACGTCTGTACAGGGCCTGGGGCTGGGGAATGCCACGAGACAACAACATATACCTGCTTGAGTCAATTTCACGTCTGCTAGCACTGGGTGCAGACTGCAAACAAACAAGTAAAACAACCTTAGAAGATTCTAGAATGCGGCGGGCAGCAGGCAGTGTGCCAGCAGACTCGGCTCAGACCGGCGTCCATAGATCTCTACACCCCGAGCGATGCGACCCGATCGACCGAGGAGCTATCACTGGCTCATCGAACGCGAATCCCGCAGGGGTCCGCTAGCACACGAAGGAACGAAAATCAGTCGTGATCTGCTCTCCAAGAAGCAACACTAATACAATACATGTACATGTAGATCTACCGGTACATTGTGTATTGAAGACAGAAGTAACTGTATGGAGGCGTCGACGAGTCCATCAAACTCGCCACAGCGCCAATACATCCATGCATTCCGATCCCGTCCCGCAATGCACAAGCAGAGTGGCAGGCTGCTATCACAGAAAACCTTAACCATGCTATGCGCTTTGCAGCTCACATGCTCGGCTTTCTTTTAAAACTGCCTTGCCATATCTGTGAAAGTAGGATTTAGGCATTTTGCGACTTCGGTACTCCCCGAAGAAGAAGGCTGCTGCTTAGGTTGGAACTCTCGCGTCCGACACTTGACTGAATTAGGACTGCCGTCTGGATCACACGAGATAGCAAGTCGAACGTGCCATTCGGCAAACTGGTAAGAAACACCACTCCTGATCATTACACAATGTTTCGAGGGATTCATCTCACATCACTATAATCATGAACTTGATCGAGTAAAACATTTTGAAGGACGCTTCACGCAGCTTCATTACACTTGAAATTGTTTGCAGGCAACCTGTCTACACTCAAGAGAGCGCTGCATTTCACACAAATCCATTAGAGGTATCGTTTCAACGATTCGGTCTTCATGACCATCATCAGGAATGAACGAGTAGGCTAATGGCATGTGTGCTGCAGGAGTGTCACAACTTGTTATCACTCCAGCAGCTCAAATACCACTCAGTCACGCAAAATGTTGGAATATCAAGTAACACGTTAGTTATCAACTAAAAAACTTACTTACAGTGACACTCCGTTTCCAGTGCGACAAACACCTTGTACTAGTATCTGCCCTGTTGAGAAATCCGTAATAATGCAAACCGCCCTCCATTGGAACCATTGTGAGGAACCCGCAGTATAGCTCTCGGGTCGGTTCTCTGTTCCCGGGCCTCTACTCTGTATAATAAGTGATAGCAGTCAAGGCTACACAATTGTACTGAACTCATGACTTTTTGAAACGATTGCTTCCCATGCCCAGCTTCCCACTTGTAGAGTGCCTAGTTGAAAGGATGGAAAGAAAATCCATGGTCTCAGGTCTGTCCAGGGGAGACTCACTATACACTAGTACAGTACTGGAAACTGAAATCTGACCCCCTTGACGGCGCGCCGCACCGCCCAGGGGGTCAGATTTCAGTTTCCAGCACTGTAGATCTACACATTCACGGTGGCATTCGTTGACTCGATGGAGCCTTGACCTGTGCATTCTGAAAATGTACACATCAACGTGCAGGTTGTAGCAGAGCACTAATGCCAGTAGTGATGGTAGTGGACTAGACGAGTTACGAACGCGTCTATGTCCGTGGTGTACGTTGCAATAAAAGGTGGAGAAGGTTTGTCCGTGTCGTGTCCGGCCACACTGTTCAAGGGCGCCGTGAGCCCGTAAAACCACTTTGAGATGCTTGTGGATCTACATGTACAATCATGTATTTGTAGGAGTACGTGTAGCAGGATCCAGTGTACGTTCCTGTGTGTGTGTGTGTGTGTGTGTGTATGTGTGTGTTTGTGTGTGTGTGTGTGTGTGTGTGTGTGTGTGTATGTGTGTGTGTGTGTGTGTGTGTGTGTGTGTGTGTGTGTGTGTGTGTGTGTGTGTCGTTCCATATTGTCGGCCCCGCAACGGGACCCGTGACTGTAATGGCAGTGTTTACCAGGACCAGGACTAGGTGTGTGTGTCTGTGTGTCTGTGTGTGTGTCTGTCTGTCTGTCTGTCTGGGTGTGTCTGGGTGCGCGACAACCTCCACGGTGCGGATTGAAAAAGGAACACAGCCAACTGAGCCCTGCCGCAGGAGAGTGACACAGAGGAAGCCATGACGAGGGCGGGAAGACGTGCGGAACGGGCATACTGGTGCTGCAAATGAAAGAACACGGCCACCCTACAGGAGAGCAGAGCCGGGTCGACACCGCCACCACCATACAGGACTAGCACACACACACACACACACACACACACACCTCAGACCTCAGACCTGCCCATCGCAGAAGCGATGATAGCGAACAGCTATGTTAGACAAAGCAACTTGTGCTGGGATTACACCATTCAACAGCTTGCAAGGCTGATGAATTTACCGCCACTATTTTTAGCCTGGTATCCACCACACAGCTGTTTTAAGTGACTTTTTCTGGCCAGTGAATCCCTATTTTTCATTTTTCCATTTTTTCTACACACACACACACCACACCACATACTCCGGCATACACTGGCTGTTGGTAACCACCCAGGAGAATGAAAGAAAAGTCAGGAAGAGTCCGAGAACACGCACATGCACACACACACACACACACACACACACACACACACACACACACACACACACACACACACACATGCACACACACACACACACAATACAATACAATACAATATGCCCATCCGGAGATGATAGCAGGTCCCGAAGGGACCAACAGTCTTCAAGTCACGAGCAGAATCGGGCGTGGCGAGTCAAGTCCTGGCGACGGCGATAGCGCTTTCCACAAGTGCAAACGAAGTCTAAGGTGACGGGCTCGGTTGGAGGGATGGTGCTGCATGTTGCTCGAATGGATGACTCCCGTATGCCAAAGTGTATCCTCTTCGGCGAACTGGACAAGACCCGGCCACGTCATGGGCCCCGGAAGCGGTGCCGGGACAATGTTGTGTCCGACACACACACACACACACACACAAACACACACACACACACACACACACAAACACACACACACAAATACCGGTACCACCATCCGCTGCAGCACAACTGCCTCAATTCACCACGACTCTGCGCAAGTTCGCACCAATGCTCCTCAGGAATGTCAATTGAGCAGGAATCCTGCTGTACAACATTCCTCCAACGCCGTCTCGGGCCACACACACACACACACACACACACACACACACACACACACACTTGTACTTGCTCACTGCCAAAACGGTGGTCTACCCAGGAGAGGGGAGAGAGACTGAAAAGAAATCTTGCAAAGATGACTCAATTCAGTCAATCGGCTATTGAACCGCCCAACGGCAGACACCCCATGAAATCCCTAAATAATTAGGGGTGGACTTGGAATGATCACACCTTTTAAATGGGCTCACCACACCTCAGTAAGTGGTGAGGACAAGGTGCAAAAAAGGATTGACGGCATCAGGGTATCCATCCCGGGATCCAACTGCAGTTACTCCTGCCCCAGTGAAGGTAATACTTGCTACTAGTGTGGGTGGCTAAATCAGAGTGGATCTGATACAAGCTTCACTAGCGCCATTGATTACATCTAGCCAGATACAGTCCAGGGTTGACAGGTTTGTATACTTCAAATACAAAGTATATGAACCCTGAAACACACAGTACAACAATACACCTTCAAGCAGCCGAGACAACACAATCTGGCATAAGTATACCCAACCAAACTAGCTGGCACACACACACACACACACACACACACACACACACACACACACACACACACACACACACACTTGCTCACTGCCATCAATTGGTCACGCGGGTCTTCCCAGGAGAGGGGAGGGAGAGATGCAGAAGCAATCCTGGAAAGATGAAACAGTTGGCTAATGAACCGCCCAACGACTGACACCCTTGGAAATGATCACACTTATGGGCTCAGCACCCCTCAGTAAGTGGACGAGGCCAATGTGGCGAAAAAAGGACTGACGCCATCAGGGTATCCATCCCCACCAACACCATTGATTACGCGTACACAAGACTTTTAATCTAGCCATAACATAAACTAAAAACGGTATAGCAGGTGAAAAGCGCACACTCACACTCGAATAAACTATCATTTTAAACAAACAAAACAGCGAGGAGTAAAAGTAAACTAAATCAGACACGACCAAACGTCGCATACAGGACGATGTAGTAAAAGGGCAGGCAAAGCACGCCAGCTGAAACAGGTACTGTAAGCATGAAACACTGTCAAAGAGCAACATGGAAATACGTATATTACAGGTAGCAGGTATATTACAGGTAATACACATGCGGCATGCTGTAAAAGTACGACACAAGAAAATTATTATGTTGAAAGTGATCAGAGCGACGATCACAACAGTCTGCTTTGCGAAAGCTGAGCATTTGGTCCTGCTCTAGTCTTTGCTCGTCTGTTTGCAGTGGCTGGTCGGCATGGGCAGCACAATAAGACTGATCTTTCAAGTGAGCGAAGGTCACATAGAAGTGGCTGAGTAAACCTGGAAGAATACACGTATGCCAAGCCTGGCTACGAGATGGAGAGGTAGATAGCGGTGTGCAAGAAGGACATCTGGCGACGCACTATGGCCACGTTGTCGCGTTCATTGGCAATTGGAAAATGTAACGTGGCATATAGCGCGTACCATCGCCAACCAACCAGCCCCTCTCGCAGGCAACACGGTATGGGAGTCGACTTGCCAACCCAACGGCCATCTACGTGTGACCTGACCAGAGCGAATGGCACTGTATACGGCAAGGTTGTTTTAGTACTAGCGTGTCCCAGGCAAACACGGCAGGTATGAAGCACAGCAGTGCCAAGTGCACGAGAGTGCAACACACACGCTGTGTGCATAGGTCAACACTGAGTGGACACTGCCGTGAGAGTCACCTTGCGTATTCAACATCATGTTAGCTGCTGGACTAGGCTGTAGAAAATGATGTTGCTTGTACATCATCCCTACAAAGCTTGTCCATTACCTGGCTATCCGTGTTGGTGTTACCGCTGCTCCTCTTGCTGCTGCTGTTGCTGTCACTGCTGTTGATGCCATTGGTATTGCAGCAACGAGCTACGGCATGTTGGAATGGCGCTCTATCATAGTATGGCTTTCAACATGGACTCTGGCACGTGTGTGCCTCTCTCACAGTGTGGCTTTCAACATGGACACTGCCTCGTCGATGGAAGACACCGAGCCTGACTGGTGCGAGCACACGGACGACGCTTCCTCATCGACGACCTTGGCACTGGCGCTATCCGTGCTTGTGCGTGCCAGAGCTGATAGAAGGCTGTGCTTTGCCGCATCCGACTCGCCACGTGCCAGCTGCAGTATGAGCAAAGAATGCCACATTCAGAACAGCAAGGACAACAAGCATGAGAGCAATGCATACAGCACAGGAGAGAAGGGCAAGTTTTGCTGTAACACTGATGGCAGGAGTAAACATAACACACACTTTCTCTCCTGCAGAAGCCCCATCCATAGCCATGTAGCCACACAAGCGCCAGTACTGTACTTCAGGAGTAGTTCCAATAGAGAGGTTCCGGGGTACGATTTTCCGTGCCAAAATCCGTGTGGGCGCTACGGATTTTTTCCAGGCGAGCTCCATACGATTTTTCGGCACGGAGAATCCGTGTGGACTGGCTTTCACACGAACCATGTTTCGTATGGAGATTTTGCGTCATCGGGTGCAGAAAGATTTTTCGCGTACAAATTTGGTACGAGAAACATGGGTTTTCCGCGGGAAGTTTTGATTTCGGTACAAATTTTCAAAATAAAAAGGCATAGCGCGGGAATGTGACGTGTTTGTGATCGTAACCTAGGCAATGACGGCAAACACATAAGTTCCGTACTCCGGAACGTTTCACTGCTCGAAAACGATGTATAAAAAATCCGTAGCGCCTCTACGGATTTTGGCACGAAAAATCGTACTCCGGAACCTCCCTACTGCAGTGTTGATAAGCAGTAGTTCCAGCATCAACTCTATAGTTCATACACTGCACAGTACAGCTCATGTGTGCCCATCAAATGCGAATCATGTTCTCGAATAAAGATCAGCGTTTGAATATTCGAATGCTTGAATGCTACGTTTTTTCGGTCGAATGTTCTTTCCATCAAAAATTAAAATATTTGAATGTTTGAACATTTCTTCCAGCACTACTGATCGGCTTATAGTACTCCGGCACGGAGTAACACCCGTGCTAGGAAAAATGCCCCCGCACTTTGCATAAAAAAGGATTTTTGTCCATACACACTCACAGCTGCCACATTCATCTACAGCTACCATTCTCAGATACACTGCATAAGTTCACACCACACACGTTATGCATAACCGCGAGCTGCTGCATTCTCACGCTCCTCATCATATTATTCCAGCTTCGTAACTGGTTGTTTTAGTGATTCTTACTATGTGACGATGTTCCACTGATGATAGTCACGAGAAAACGTTCTGGAGTTGTTTCATTTTAATTGTTTTATGCATGGTTAAGAGTGCACAATTAGTTTTATTCATTGCTATCTCACTAAGCGAGTGTATGTCTTATCAGGGAATGTACAGTCCTGCTCAATGAAATCCAGTCGCGTCACTCAAGTTTGTGCCCTGCACCATCTCGCAGCCCAGTGTTCGCAGGTCTAGGGCTGCGCAACACCCAGTGGCGCGTACTTGAGCAACGCTGTGACTGGATTTCATTGAGTAGCAGCACTGTACTAGGTGAGTTCCACTGTATCTCAGTATGGCCAGTGGGGACAACGAAAGCCATGGTAGCTATGCACAAGGACAAACAGAGGACGGGCGAGGGCGGGGGAGAAGAGAGGCTACACAGGATAGAAACGGGAGGAGGATCAATGGGGGTGGGTTCACGGAAGCTAGAGTGTCAGCTCAAAAACTCACCCCTTTTCTTGTGGGTAGAGAGTAGCGTCTCAAGGCACTTGCTATGGGTGACAGCGCTGCTGAAACGTCTTGACAACCACCCAGCTGTGATATGATATGGATTGAGGGGAGTGGATGCATGGATATGAGGGGTGCAACTTGACTTTTTTCATGCTCGAAAATGAAAATGAAAATAAATTGTTGACAGGAGTAGAATCAGTCAATTCAACAAACATTTAATGGCAAGTCTGCACAATTTTGGTTCAGTTCAAGTCTTCTTTTCTGTCTCATGTTAACACAGCTCCTACCCTCCCCTGTGCTTACTGACGAGAGCATGACTAAATCCTCCTATTGGAGAATATCCCCCCCCCCCCACACCCAGCGGCCATTAACTCGGAAAAACACGTGCACATATACAGCAGTGGCAACTGAAGTCCGACTCCGGGAGGTGCGCTCGCACAGCACGCTAACGCAGCACACTCGCACAGCACGCTCGCACAGCACGCTCCCACAGCACGCTCACACAGTACGTTCGCACAGCACACTCACACAGTCCTTTTCATCCAAGAAGTTCTCAGACCAAATGCTGGATGACAGACAACGATTTGTCCAGCTTTTCAATACATGCTATGGCCCATGGACAAAACCTTCAATTGAACAAACTCCCTGTCTCGGAAGTTGAACGAAATTATTCATCGACTACATTTCTGTTTGTACAGTATGCAATGACAAGATTGTGCTGATACAAGGTTCAATCAACGCAGCTAACTTTCACAACTAGTAACAAGTGCTCGAGACCAAGGCTGAAAGGGCCACACAACCATTCCCTCTGTACACTGCATACTCACTCACCTTGGGAGAATAGTCCTTGGCATCTGGACCCATCAGCTGACACGCATCAACACTGAACGTTTTCATTAGCACTCTTCTCTTCTCCGCTTCAGAGTACTCGACGGTCACCGGCAGATCTAGACTTTGTAATCTGAACAAAGATGACCAGGTGTACGCACACCCACACACCCGCCCACACACATACCACACATAGACCCAGCAATGGCCAGTGGAAGAGAGGGACATAGAGGATCAGCCAAAAAACAAAGTAACACACTATTCACAAGGCCGACGTGATACAGACCACTATGGCAATGGCTTCGAAGCGACATCACGTCGTTGACAACTTCGTAGCAAGTGGGTACAAACAACCATTGCGCCCCCCCCCCCCCCAGCACGCGGGGTTTTGCAGTGAACATTTCAAGTGCTTGGACATGTCCAGATTATAGTTGATACCTCACGCAAAGTACCCAGGTATCCTTTCTCCTCTCGGGACACGAGTCCGCTGCACACGTCCTCCTATCTGCAGTGCAGGAAGAGCAGGGACTTGCACGAACTTACAATTACCAAATTGTGCAAGTCCTGCACTTTGTACTTGGTCCGCCAAGTTGAAATTGGCGCTTACCTTCACTCTTGTCTCAAAAAGAAAATACAATGATTTGAAGCATGCCACGATCAGAAAACACTACCGGTAACTTCAGCTCAGTTGTACGCACTACGCCACTTCCCGCCTCAGATACGCACCAAATAATGATGTCATCACGGAATTCCGCCGTGATACACGCCCATAGAAGAAAAAGCCCCGAGCTGCACACTCTGGGTTTCATATGCCCTTGATAATAGCAGAAACCATAGCAACTTCAACAGCTTGCAAGGCTAAATAATTGACCACCACTCCTCTCACTTCAGCTTGGGCTACACCACACAGCTTTTTGAAGTATTTTTTTTCTTTCTTTCTGGTCCGTGACAGACTATTTGAATATAAGCCTAGCACCGACATCGGCTTCTACAGGAATAAGCCCGGCTTTATATATATAATATGTACAGGATATTGACCAAGACGAGGCCTATATTTCCCATATAGACCGAAGTCGAGGTCAATATCCTATTTATCATGATTCAGTGAGGGCTGCATCCCACCCGCCTGTGTGGACTCACAGGAAGTGTGAGTTACGAAGTCTGAAGAAAATGTTGAACAGTCTTTGCTGGGATGACGACTACACCATAGCTCAGTGGTTAGAGCATCGCTAGCTACAAGCGAGGGTCCCTGGTTCGAGTCCTGGTGGTGACAGTCAATTTTTTCTTCAGACTTTTCCCGTTTGTCTCTTTCCCTCAGACTAGTGAAGATTATCATGATTCCTTTGCCATAACCCCAAAAGTTGAACCTTTAGGAGCTATTTTAACCTTTTTAGTATAGCATTTGTACTATAGTGTACATAGGATGTTGCCTATTTTGGGTACAAGACTGTAAGAACAACAGAGTTCAGCATCTGCAGCACAGTGGCTGGGTGGTATAAGGGGTTGCTTGAGATTTGTACTGTTGTGAGTTCGAATCCTGCTTGTTCTCTTCCTTTGTCTTCTTTCTTTCAATTTTTCTTTTTGAAGTGGAGAGAAAAATTCTAAGTCCCTCCAAAGTCGAAAGATTACAATGCCTAAAGCTGTGTTCACAACTGGCGCGTGGACGCGGTACGCTTGCGGTTCATGCGCCCCCAAACGCGCGCTCAGCCTTTCACAAAAAACAGCAATCCGAGTCGTATTTAGCACCTTCGAGTACTAATTTTTTGACCCCGCCAGTCAAAGTGACTGGCATGTACGCTGATACGCGCCTGATACGCGCTGAAAATTCCAACATGTTGGAAGTTCCATTTCGGCGCGTTTCCGTACGCATGGCGCCCCAAAAGCCAGCAAATATACGCACAAACGCGTGGTTTCACGCGTACACGCGCCAGTTGTGAACACAGCTTTAGTGGTCGATACAAGCGGTCGATATAAGCGGTCGATATTGCGGCGATATGGGTAATATAGGACCAGTCAAGGATCACGAGAATTAGTGGAGGTCGATATAGAAGAGTGATAAACAACATTACGAGATATGCAGCTGGCACATAGACAGACAGGCAACCAGAAAAACAGACAGACAGACGGCCATACGCACGCACACACACACACACACCATCGGACGCCCATCGCCGGAGGCGATGATAGCGATGCTACAGCAGAAGCCATAGCAGCTTGTGCTGGGATTGCACCATTCAACAGCTTGCAAGGCTGAAGAATTGACCGCCACTATTCAGCCTGGTCTACACCACACAGCTATGAAGTGGCTTTTTCTGGCCAGTGAATCCCTGTTTTTTGGTCTTTTTTTCACACCCACACACACCCACACCCACACACCCACCCACACACACACAGACACACGCACCCACACCCACAACCACACACTGATACACAGACTGTATCCTACCTGCCCAATGCCATGGGATCGATAGCGGACACGGTCCAGCGACTCCGAAGTGTTTTCTTCGGTAAACGCTGTGCTGCGGCGGATACGGGTGCGGATGAGCAATGGTGGTCGCGATCACATTCAGCCGTGTCTGCCACAGACGTTGTGCCCACTGAGTTGACACTATGATGAGGGCGTATTCCGCTGGCTTTGTTTAGACTGATGTCGGGCGTGGTGTCAGGCGCCGTCTGACACCCTCGTTGCTCTGGTCGGCAGTCGAACTCGCTGTCCGTGCCGGAGGTGGGAGCAGATGGCATGGCGTCGCCCAGGGCACTTCGCACTTTGTGGATCTCATTGGATATGGTCTCCAGAGCGGCTAGCGCATCACTGTACGTTTGTTTGGACTGCGCCAGGCTGGCGGTGATGGTACCAAGCTGGGCCTTCTTATCCTAAACATGCACAGGAATGATAAGAAAATTTAATGTGATGAGCCACCAGGACTATTAAAGAACAAAGCACAAGTTGTAATGCACCACTAGCAGCACACCAGTGCAGAAAGCAGGTTATCGTCTCAGGGCACAAAAGCAAAATGCACCCTTTTCTGCTTTGAAACTTGTGCCACTGTAGAGATGGGGAGGGGTGACTTATTGGAACGGCAGCTACAAAATAAATATTGAGAACTGGCTCAAATTCACTTTCTGTCTTAGTACAGCGAAACCTGTCTAAACAACTAATCGAGGGACCGTAAAAGTGGTCACCTTGGCCAGCTCATCCCCTTGTCCAGGTTTAGTGCATGCCATGACCACAGTCACTTCATAATGGGATACGGTAACAGTTGAAAGTCAGTTAGTATGACGAGTCTAAAATTTAAGGAGGCTCCCACCTAAAGGAGTGCAGGCTCGCAAGCGGCATTGTTTGTCTGGGCTGCGGTGTGATCAGCAGGTCAAGACCGTGGTCGCAATTACGAGTTACATAGACCACTGATCACAGAGAAATTCCAAATCCGGGGTTGAAACGCACATAATCTCTAGTACTTTGCACTTGTGTCGTCTCCCTACAGTTGTCAATGCAACAACTCTTGGTCTTGTGTGCAATGCCTTTGCTGTTTCACTCTAGTACATCAAAGAAAGGAAATATATTCACTGGGACGTTTTTTTTTCTTCAAAATAAAGCTCCACGCCAATGTATAGAGACAGAAAACTTTGTAAAGTCACTTCAAATTTACCTCCAGTGTCCGACACATCTTTTCGTATACTTGAAAATATGGCCTGAACGAGATCACAGTGCACAGGCACAAACACATTGACATATACACAGTACATCATCAATCTTGACCATATAAGCAAAAAGGCACACACTTGGCCGTCCTCGCATGGGTACCAGCGGAACAAGAGAGCTTGTATAAACGTTTGCATGTGGTTGTATCAGCTGGCTGTGGGAATCAAGACCACCCCTTGTCTGAGGTGTTTGTATCACAGAATAAAATACTGAACTAGGACTTGACTGGAAACAATTATTCAGATTGAGAGCATGTGCCCTGATCATAAAGATATCCATGGTCGGTAGATTCCCACTTTAGGAGCGTCATCAGCTTGTGCATGCTACATACCGGTAGTTCCCAGGCTACTTACTCAGACTTGGCGATATGACGAGCGTTGTCTCGCTTCAAGCGCTGCAGTTGCTCGTTGAGGTTAGCGACCTTCAAGTACTTCTCACTGTGTGATACCTTGGAAGCAGCTAGCTGTTCGGATATTGTACCCACCTAGCCCGCAAGAACAAACATTAGCAGTGGTGACAGCAGCAACAGCAACACCAACAGCAGCAGCAGCAACAGCAGCATTGTCGAAAGAAATATAGTGAGCGCGCTCATACCACCACAACAATGGAACAATATTGAAGGATTTGAACGTCGTTTTCATGTGATAATCGTCAGAAATCGTCATCACACTGAGAGTTGGACTACAAAGGAAAGATATTTATGGTATCATAAAGTGAACATTAGATGATCCTTGAAGGGTGGTGGCGTTCCTACGGATGCGGAAAACTCGGCCTCTATATAGAGAAACCGAGTCTCACGCGAACCGTGAAATATATAGTAGATCTAACACTAATACAAGAAACACTAGTATTCTAAAGCTAGCACTATTGAAGGCGTGATTACATGAGCAGCGAGCAGTGTGAAAGTATGTGTAGATTGGAGAAGTGCAGGTGAGAAAGGTACCTGTATGTGAGTGGGTATGCGGGTGTTGGTATGTTAAGTGAAGAGTGTGAGTGCTGCAACGAATTCTTTTTGTTTTCATTATCTGGATTACGAGTACGAATAAACATTGTTTCTAATACGGAAAGTAGACGAAAACTACTACTTCCTCCGCGTCATCGAAATTGTCGCAGTTTGACTAGTGACTTGTCACTTGTTACTGACAACTCCATAAGCTAAGCCATTCAAAACTTATTACACAGGATGATAGTCTGAAGACTAGAGTAACGTTCCAGGACAGTTGGACTGAAAATTTTCATGCAGAGATGAAGTCCTCGTCGTCGCTGATGTCAATGGACGCAAAAATATCGTTCCGAAATATTTCAAGGAAGGTTGAAAGTTGGTCGCGCCTCATCTCAAACGCTTTGACTTTCTCCACAGGACAAGAGCTGCTATGCTTGTCGTTTGCTAGCTCTGGATGATTTCTACTTCACCACAAACGAAGCCTAGTAAGAATACACGATCGTTGCGAGGTCGGTTGATTACCGTCGGCGGAATCACCTCGATCTTGAAATGAACTTTTTTTAGCCGTGGCATGCCCATTTATTTTTGCTGTTTGGTCACAGCTCATGCAGCTCAGGTAAGAGTACTATCGCGTCCAGCGCGCCCTGCTTTTCAGCATCACTGGTATACCATGGTACGGCACCTGCGCGTGCATCACTAGCACTACGTGTAGAGTCTACACGGCTCTTGCAGGTACAATCGTGTTCTGAGTGCCTCAGCCAGAGCGACAAATTTTATCGCTGTTGCAGGCATTTAGTTTTCTGACCCCTCGATGTTTCTCCAAGCGCTGCCACTTGTTCCACGAAGTCATTCTCACCCCAGCTAAGGTAAAACAGTGATGAGGCTTGAGTGAATGGCCATAAGCACGAGAAATGTGCAGGCTGCAACGCCTGACTGATCTCCGCGAGTCGAAATTACCATCGCAGCGACATCAGCGAAGAAATTGCGTCTAGTTCAAAAATTCCAGCTTCCAATAACAGAAAATAGAACTTTACCGTCACCCTATACTGATGACTATCGCCTATGTCCAATTCCTTGCCTCTGGTACGAGTGCTGGTGAGTAAATACCCCGTTTTATATCAAAAGTCAAACTGCGACAATTTCGATGACGCGGAGGAAGTAGCATAGCACACCACACTGAAGCACGAATCATCGTACAACTGCAAACACTGGGGATTGGACACCAAATGCTTGACTACGCTCACATACACTCACATACACCACTCACATACATGTACGTTTCTCAGCTGCACTTCTCCAATCTACACATGCTTTCACACTGGTCGCTGCTCACGTAATCACGCCTTCAATAGTGCTAGCTTTAGAATATTAGCGTTTCCTGTGTTAGTTTTAGATAGGGGTGTCAACGGGTAGTAGGGTACCCGTGCTACCCGTAATTTGATCGGGTAGTAGGGTAGCAATTTGCTCCTGAGAACCCGATCGGGTAGTTGGAGTACAGTGTTTTTGCAACGGTGCATGTAAACCGCACGGATACGTGCTTCCTGTACACTTTCGATGTAGCGCAAGTGCACACTCACAGTACAAACTGTGTCAAAAATACCCAAAAGGGTACCCGTGCTACCCGGATAAAAATGTCCGAACCCGTTACCTGACCAAACCCCTACCCGTTGCAGCCCTAGTTTTAGAACTAATAATGTTCACTTTATGATACCATAAATATATTTCCTTTGTAGTCCAACTGTCAGTGTGATGACGATTTCTGATGATTACCACATGAAAACGATGTTCAAATCCTTCAATATTGTTCCATTGTTCCGTGGTGGTATGAGTGCGCTCACTATATTTCTTTCCATATTAGGTTTCTTGTCTCCACGCCGACTTTTTAAATATGACATTGTAGTCGCAATTTGTTACTGACATTTTGAGAGAATCCGATGGTTCATAACAAGCGCGGTGTAGAGAAGCCATAGAAGAGCAGAAATACCTTTGCCAGCCAGGAACGCACAAATAGTCCAACACTACAGTGATCCTCAATGAAATCTGATGGAGTGCGTCGAGTCTGCGCTAGTGCACATCTCAGCGATCCCAGGTCTAGGGATACAAAGCGCCCAGTGGTTGCAGTGACACACTTGGTTGGATTTCATGGAGCAGGACTGAAATTGGATTTCATTGAGCAGCACTGAAAATGGATTTCTTTGAGCAGCACTGAAATTGGATTTCTTTTGAGCAGCACTGAAATTGGATTCCTTTGAGCAGCACTGAAATTGGATTCCTTTGAGCAGCACTGAAATTGGATTTCTTTGAGCAGCACTGAAATTGGATTTCTTTGAGCAGCATTGAAATTGGATTTCTTTGAGCAGCACTGAAATTGGATTTCTTTTGAGCAGCACTGAAATTGGATTTCTTTGAGCAGCACTGAAATTGGATTTCTTTGAGCAGCACTGATATTCCCACCAGTCATGCTTGGTCATGGTAGACAGTGTCAGTGCAGAAGTTCAAAACAGTTTTGATTTCTGGTGTACTTAGTGCGGTGCCATGGATGTTATACAACATCAAAACGGGATCATGACCCCTCGGGTAAGTTTTTGTGATTTTGATTCTAAAATTTCCGAGCCTTCATTGTCGGATTTTAGTCCAGTTCTCTGTATTCTTCTCCCCTCGCCCATTTCCATCGAACGAAAAGAAAAAGTTGGAAAACGCTGGATAAGCAGTGTCCTTTACTTACCTTGGATCTGGAGATCTCGACCATAATCTTGCAGGTCTCACTCGTTGGTGACGACTCTCGCTTTTCTTCGGATGCTCGCAACATCTCTTCGGCGGCATTGAATCCAACAATGAGCTTTTCGTAGTCTTGTGTACATACACATAGCTCAGCTTGTGCCTGGGAGAAAATGAGTGTGAGAGTGGGGAGAGAGAGAGAGAGAGAGAGAGAGAGAGAGAGAGAGAGAGAGAGAGAGAGAGAGAGAGAAAGAGGGTAGAGGATACAGCTGATGAAACTTAAAACCCCTCAATGAGAAAGCATCAACAGCCTTGGGCTATCAACGCCCCTTGCTGCAAGAGTGAGAGTCAAATTTGTTTATTCCCTGTAGCTATGCAAAAGACGTTACGGATGGTAACGTCTGGTGCCAATCAAGGTCCACAATGCTTCACTGCGTATCTATGTGCGCGCCGTGCATGTTCGCATGTCACGTGACAGGGAGCAAAGGGCCAGAGTCGCGCCAGGTGCGTGTGGTCCTTCATCTGTTACACAGCTAGGTCTTTTTCTTTCCTTGCCGTGGTGGGTCTCCATTCTCTATGTATCCATTACAATCACTTTGAAAGGAAATCACGGCGACTGGATCTGGATATACTCTTCAATACACCATGCAACAAACTTTAGAAAGTTCTTCAGTGGACTTTAGTTAGCCTCACCTTGTCAAGTTTCGTTTTCAGTTGATAATACGGTCTTGCTCTCTCCACGGCAACACCAAGCTTCTTCTGATATGCTGCAAGCTGGCTGCCTGCTTGCCGGGACAGGTCGACAAATGCTTTCTGGATGGACTGCAGATTAAGAGAGAGAGAGAGAGAGAGAGAGAGAGAGAGAGAGAGAGAGAGAGAGAGAGAGAGAGAGATGGATAGAGAGAGAGAGAGAGAGAGAGAGAGAGAGAGAGAGAGAGAGAGAGTGAGTGAGTGAGTGAGAGAGATAGACGGAGAGGGAGATGGAGATGAAGGGAGATAGAGAAGAAAAGAGTAGAGAAAAGAAGAAAACACAGATATACAATACCATCAGAGTTGCATGTGTCCAATACTTGGCCAACGTGTCCAGCACCTTCGATTACAATACACAGTGTACAGTCGACTCCACTTATAACGAACTCGCCTGTAGCAAATTTCGTGATATAGAGAACCGGTGTCCATGTCCCAGTTCGAACCCCCAGTGTAAGTGCATGTCTGTTATAACGAACTTTGGCTATAAAGAACTACAGTCCATTTCAAAACTATAGACGTGTACCTAGGCAAAAACCGTTATGCCAGCATCTATACCACATAAAATCTGTGATCACTTTGTGCATAATTTTTTCCAAATTGGGCGTCTGTTATCCAATCGTTTAGAAACTATAATTATGAGAGTAATTGTGGAGCGGACCTGAGCAATATTCCGAAAACTATTCTCAAAACGCTCCAGCCAAATTTGAAATATTTCAAAAACCCTACGCGTCTATAGTTTTGAAATGGACTGTAATTCCCCTGCACACTGGTGCTCGTTATATCAGGAGTCGACTGTACTTGTACTTGGACACGGTACGGCTGTCCTCGTGACGTGTGTTGCATGACAATGAACACAAGTTGGAGTCTTACCTCAAGCTCCTTTTCAAACTTATTGATGTCCGACGAAGATGAGTTCAGCCGCTCTAATTCTTGCTGCAAGGAAAAGACAAGACCGCACCAACAACAATGATGAAAGCGATTGTATGATACCAGGCACAAATGCAGCAGCAATACAAATGTGACCCTCAACAGTGTCATGACATTCACATGTACGAGTTTAGTGTGTAGTACTCGGTACATACTGAGCCCTGTGTCTTTCTCTTGAGTCTTGTCTCCATAATATGTACTGCATGCATTCACGTTACGCGCTTATCAGTTGGACCCTGAGTTCATGTCTGCTATCCCATGTCTTCTCTATTTCTGTTTGCTTCCACGTGGTACACACAACAATTCCAGCACGGTCATGGTCATCACAAATCCACTGGAGGAATTATGTACGACTGTGGTGCGTACGGACCAGGAGTGATACCCCCCACATCACGTTGAGGATGCAGAAATAACCTTTGGTGATGATTACATGGTACTCTCTTAGAGTGCATCAAGAAGCTTTTTCTGCCTCCTTTTTTATTTTATTGTTCTGCTCAAAAGCATGCATGGCAGTAAAGACTGATGACCCCCCCCCCCCCCACACACACACACCATGCTGCGTACGTACTGTGTACAGCTGCGCATGTGTGGGTCCAACATCGTATTCGATACACACACTGAAGTCGCTCCACAGGCAGAAATTTTGACAGGGGGCGGATATTACAGAGGTGGCGGATCAACGGTACTTTGTCACATATCTCACCAAGAGTACATGAACCCCAAGGGTGTACATCTATACAGTGCTGCGACGGCAGAACTTTACATCACATGACATGCCTCAAAACTTACAAAAGACTATGCTGGAAAACAGTGCAAAGTGACCAGCAGAGAGTTAACCCAAAGCAGGATAAAGCCTAGTTCACATTCGACGGGGCGCGACGGAACGCGACGTAAGGATCGACGGGAAGCGACGGGACGGTCTGACGGCGTCCAATGTTAAGCCTAGTTCACATTCGACGGAACGCTGACGGTACATGACGTAAGGGCCTGTCGGGAAGGCTGGGGTGAGCTGTAAAATCTTGTACGATTCGTACGACACGACATGCTGCAGTCGTGGCGTCGTTCAACAGCGAACGGCGACAGTCATAAGGCACGGTCCGTGGGGTGACTTTTGGACCTAATTTCTTGTTTTTCGGGACTTCTTTTCAATTATTTCTCCTTCAATGAAACGGAATCAAATTCACAATACCAGGTTTTCATGAAGACCACAAAAGTAGCTTCGAAAGGTGTGCCATTCAAATAATAGCTCCAGGAAATGATATAACAGTTCGTCTGTCACGCTCCTGAGCTATCCCTAAATACCATATGTGACATCAGACCTTATCTTGCTAAAATTCAACTCAAGTCATGTTAGGCCAAGTAAAAAAAAAAGCTAGATGATCGTCCCCGTCCGCCCCAGTTTTTGTCAGCGCCCCAAGAAATATTTTATTTTTTAAATCGTGAGTTTTACTATATGGACCACATACTACTAGTATATCACAACGTCAGTATCGATCTGCTGAAGAAAGAAAAAGAAAAAAAGAAAAAAAAAGAAAAAAAGAGAAAAAAAACCTTGATGTTGTTGTGTACACTGTGTGCATGAGAGGGTAAAAAGTAAAAAAATAAAAATAAAATCCTCCCGCCCTCCCCGATTTTTCCAAAAAAAAGGACGATCATCTAGTAATTTTTTTTACTCGGCCTTAGCTATTCTGCGAGTTATCATGGAGGGGGGGGGGGGGGGCGGTGTTCGAAATGCGAAAAATGTCCAAGTACAAATCGGGAGTAGTCGGCGCACGACGCCGTCTCCTGTTCACACTCAAAATGCAGCTGTTTTGTACGCTTGCGTCCCCGTCTACGCTAGGCTACGGTATGAAAAGTTGGATCGATCCAACTCTTCCCGTCGCTTCCCGATCTGTACGGCAGTACGGTTGCGTTCCCGTTCCTGGTGTTCACATTGGATGCCGTCAGACTGTCCCGTCGCTCCTTACGTCGCGTCCCGTCACGCCCCGTCGAATGTGAACTAGGCTTTAAATGGGGTTGCATACAACCCTGTACCCATCAGGTACAGGGTGCAAATCATGTGTACGGGTTTGTCACGTGATGTGACGTTCTGGCGTCGCAGACCCCATAAACTGGATTTGCATACTCCTGGGGGTTACTGTATTTTCTCTAATAAGAGCCCGGGGTTCTTATTATTCCAGGGACAGCTCTACCTGCGCTACTATTAGAGACTGTGCTATTATTGGAGAGCGTGCTTTTTATTTTTTCAATGCTCCACTGTCAAGCCAACTCCAGCCTAAATGGGCATATCAACACTGACCATATCAAGACTGATTTTCTCAACCCTAAACTCAGGAATAGTTTCAAAAACTGGTGTGTCACAATAGCATGGGCGCCAGGAAGGAAGTGATGGACCGAAACCCCGAAACCCCCCCCCCCTTACAAATATGTGCTTGGCGTGCTGTACTGCTATTTTATACGCAGACAATATACTTGTTGCATGCTCCAATTGTGACACACGCTACTACATGTATTAGAGACTGTGCTCTTACTATTTCAAACAACCCGCAACCCGGGTCATTATTGGAGACTGGGCTATTATCGGAGACCTCGGCTTTCATTAGAGAAAATACGGTATGTAGAGGCGACGGTTTCAAATAGGACATAGGTTGCAAACCGGAACGGACTCAATATTCACTTTCTCTCTTGGTATTTTGATTAGAAAACATATGTCACATTGAGACTACGATGTGTTAAACTCCGAGCCAAAATTTCATGGTTCTGTGATGACCAGAAGCGCCATATCAAGCAGGTGAGTTTTGACGTGTTGCTTCGCACTGCGACTTGAGTTTTACGACTTTCGAAAAATCAACTTCTTGTCGCAGGTTGTTTTTTAAACAGCAGCTCGCCTCTTGCCAATAAAGCATCGCATACCAATCAAAACTAATGGAAGCACACACAAGGCTTATTGTTACTCTGTACTGGCAGTCGTGGAGCGATAGCAATTACCTAATTTCAGAACTCAGAGCGAATTTGACGTGCACTCTAAAACCTTTCCGGTTCGGAGCCACCTCTGATTTGAAGCGAAAAATTGGGCAACTTGGAGGCAATGGGTCAACACAAGACTACATAACCCCCCCCCCCCCCCCCAGAGTGTGCAACTCCCACATACCCTGCAGTCCCGACAGAATTTCAAGTTGACGTCATTATTTATGACGCAATGCTCCTTGCACCAGTGATTTACAACATGTGTACGGGTGTCAACGCATCACACGTTTTTCCTTGCAATAATTTGTACAGGATCGATCGGCTTCGGTCAACCACAGGTTCCGGATTCGTCTGATAATCCGTGTATTGCATCATCAAAATGACGTCAACTTGAAATTCTGTCGGGACAGCACCCATAGTGGAGTTGCACACTCTGGGGGTTATGTACTCTTGGTCAACACAAAGGAGTGGCTCAGTTCGATTGACTCTGGCCTCAGAGCAAACTTCAACATGCCAGTTTCCTTCCACAAACATATTTCAAGTGAACAATCAATGCTGATGATCGGTTTGGGTCTATACAAATTTGGCTGTCAAGCCGTTCTGGTATCGAACCGTCGCCTCTACTCTTGATCTTAACCCGCATCCCCGAAAAATGACCTGTTGGTAGCTCCACTCGTATTCGCAATCTTGAAACGATTATGTTACAAGAATGATCAGCGGAACAGATCCTTTGCATCAGTTGAGGAAATATCAGGATAAGTCTACCAGTCACGAGGATGAAGTATGGGTTCTATAGTCCATTCATCGGAAACTGTCCTGCTGGCTTTTGAAAGTCGGATTTGGGCCGAATTGAGGATCAAAAACCCACTTTAGATCTCAAAAATCTGGGTTTAGGATCTGTTTCTCCCTACATTTTGCAATGGCATTCCTGTCCTAATTTTGTAAAACCTGGCTGAATTTCTTTTTCCCTATTCTTGGACTTTTCTGGCCTCAAATGTGGCAAGGAGTAATTGCATGGTTCACACAATGCAGGATGTACTGTTGTTTTCACGATATCTACAACTACTAGTATGTGAGAGAGACACCAAAAAGTTAGGGTGCCAGTTTCCAATGAATGGACTGTAGTACCTGCGATTACCGGGGTGAGCAGTTCACATGCCACTTTTCCTCAAAAGTGTACGGGATCGGTGCCAGGGCATGCCAGGGAATTGAACATTGATCAACTCTCCCAGTACCAGCCACCAGTGATTTACCATAATGTACTATTTACACCATGGTCCGACGAAGGCAACTCAGCCGTCCAGCAGGAAAAGGCACATTGAACCAATCAATAGTACAGTGTTTCAGAAAATCACACAGGAGCTCATACAACATCTTGCCTGGCAGATGCAGGGCTTGTTAGTACTGCCTGGACTGGGCTCTGGGGCTTGGTGCAGAATGTTGGTTTGTTATCGCAAGTCTTCGTATCGTCTCTACACCGCCTTCGCCAACTTCACACAATGCTACGCTCTGAGGATATCCTGAGCACCTAGCAATGATTACTGCAGATCCATTGGACGCCCTGGTGTGTGTGTGTGTGTCCGATTGCCGTAGGTGAGGTGTATCGCCCAGTGGCGTATCCAGAGGGGGGGGGGGGGGGGCACCAGCCCTTTGTGATAAGAAAGACTTGGACAAAGAACCAATACATGTGAACTATTTGAAGTAAGTAAGTTCTTGATACAAAGTATTCGTAACCTCCAATCATGACTTTGTAGCTTTGTTTGAGCACAATTATAATAAGGGCCGCGATCAGCTAAAACATGTCTCTGGGGTTTTGTAAAAAAGTTGAGAAATGACGAAATGAAAAATGTTTTGGCGAGCGCCTTCAAGCTGCACTTCATTCATGAACCGGTGGCGATCATCTTCTCAAATTTTGTTCAAACACTTGTTTGGCAGAATAGTTCAAGTAGCTGGCGAGCAAAGACTGGCAATGTTCGTATCTAGTGACACTAGAGCAGCTTGCAGGGCCAGACGATCGCTGTGCATGGCCCAGGTTTGGT